TGGACAGGGGCTTTTGGAGGGGACTAGGGGCTAGCCATCTGCCCACTGATTATGGCCCATGGAGAGAGCAGATCATTCTCTAATGATGGACAACAATGTGATGAACGCTGTGAGCGAGGCTTGGATTATTTCTCTGCATAAAAACAATAAATCTTCCCTTCTGGAGTGGATGGAAAGATATAATATTAATCTTGTACAGGTTAATGGTCAGAGGAAATATGGTAGCCGTCATGTGGACTGGGTTGGAAAAAATTCTCTATTTGGGACAGAAATATTTGTCAACAATCTCCCTCAAGAAATCTATGAAGATAAACTAATTCCACTTTTCAGACTGTTGGAATATTGTGTGAGTATTGTCTTATTATGAACAGATTATACAGGTGAAAGCAAACTCCGAAAAGGCAGCATGTGTAATGTATTTTGTGTATTCAGGGGTGGGTTTGTTGCCAGGCGGTCTGCGGTGAGCTCCCTGATTATTAAAAGCATTGTCTGAGTGCCTGGCTGTTGATTATTTTACTGTTAATTAGCTCACTGTTAGCTGTTGGCTGTACTGTTGTGATCAAGCTCTTACCTAATCAGTGTGGGATGTTTTATCTCAATGTGTAATATTTGATTTATTGGTCATGTGGGGGCGCTGTCCCTATTTCTGGATTGCAAAAACCTGTCTTTTCTGTTCAATAAAGAGTTCCAATTTGGCATTTAAGCTAGTCTCGTCCATTCTTGGGTGCAATGCCCAGCTATCATATCTTTGTCCTGTGTCCCAGTGCAAGGAAGCAGTTCTCTGACGGAATCACCCAATATAGGTGACAGGCGTTCCGTCACAGGCAGCACTGTAGGGCACTGATTGGTGGCACTGACTGATGGCACTGACTGGCAGCACTGATGAGCGCAGGTTGGGAGCACTGCTGGGCACAGATTGGCAGCATTGCTGGGCAGCACTGTTGGGCACTTATGGGCAGCACTGTTTGACACTGATGGGCAGCACTGTTGGGCAATTTTGGGGCTGCACTGATAATCAGAGCACTGATAATCAGTGCTCTGATTATCAGTGTAGATCTCTCCTTTCACAGTTGCCAGTTATCGAAAAGTACTTTCCTCACATGGTAAAAGGCTGCTGTGATTGGCCCTTTACCGTGTCATGTGATCAGCTGTGTCCAAAGGACACAGCAATCACAGAGAGCACCGGGTGTGTGCCACTGGCGGTGTGCGGGGGGACGTGTTCTGGGAGGATGTCATATGACACCCTCCCAGAACTGGACAACTGCGCTGTAGCTGCCATTCGGCTATAGCACTGTCAGGAAGAAGTTAGCTGCTCTGGGCAATGATTTTGCACTGAGCAGCCCCAATCATCGTCTTCCAGAGTCCCCCGTAGGTGCTCCTGGCCCCTCCCCCTTGTTGAGTGCCCCCAGAGCAAGCTGCTGGCTCTGGAGGCACTTGTGTGTGCTTCCTCCCGAGCCAGCCCTGTATGCCCATAAGACATACAGAATGCGATTTGGCCCTACCCCAGATTCCTCCTCACTGGCTGTGATTGACAGCAGTAGGAGCCAATGGCTTCTGCTGCTGTGTTTCAGCCAATGAGGAGAGAGAGAGACCTGCAACCAGGCTGAGGTAAGTATTAGGTGTCTGACGGGGCTGCACACAGCTGCATAGTATGCATGAAGGTAAAAACAGCTTCAGCTTTTAGAACCACTTTAATGAAATGTATCTGATGATTTTTGGCACTGCAGATCATACTTGCAAGTTTGCACACCTTCCAATATCTATGGCCAACCTAAAAGGGTGGAAAACGCCATATGAAAGGTAACCTGCCCAAATCATTCATTCTTTTTGTTTATACCACTACAGTAAGCAAAAATCAAAATGGGTTATTGCAATGTCATCATCAGTGTTTCTGTACTGCCTTAGTTCAGTGCAGGGCACAGCCATGTTATCTCTGATATCCACCTTTCATTGTCTTGCTCTTTCACTGGATAGCTGCTTGGCTACATATAGTTTCTCTTTATCCAGTTATACATAAAACCTTAAATGCAAAAAAAAAAAAAATTCACCTGCATAGTAAATCAGTGTTGAAATCCAACACTATAGTGACTGTGTGATTGATTATTTATGCTATTTGCAGATGTACTATGAGTAGATAGCATCAGCTGGGCTTTGACCCTCACTGGCTGTTGCTTAGCCCACTTGCAAAATTTCATTCAAGTTTTTTTGTCAATGGGAACCTCGTGAATATCACTCTAGGTGTCACTGACGTCACTAAAGAGGCGATAAATATCTGAGAAGATAATTGGATAAGAGATTCATTGTTGTGTTAGCAAAACTCTGCCCATTGCTCCAAGGAGCCATTATTTATTCAGTAGAGGATCAGCACGCAATAGTTGTCAAGAGAGCGTCAGCTTATTAGGCAAGAGCTGCGTGATTGTGGAAGAGAGTCTACCTATAAAATCCAGCATCCAGGCTTCCCTGTGTGAGAGAGCCCTGCTCCAACTTCCAGTTATGTCATCATAGGAGAGACACAGGGACACAGCTGCACACAGGGACATACAGATCACTCACCTTTCATGCTGTGATACTGTCTCTCTGGCACCATCCAGACAAGAGGACCCTCAGCCAGCAGGTAAGTGTTAACCGTGCAATGGAGGGTAGGAAACTCATTGTTAGAGTCAGGTAGAATGAAGTAAGCCTGCTATTATTGGGGGGTTGCCCTTTTCAGGCTTATGAAAGAGGGAATCCCTTCTCTACTGTAGGTGACAATTACTGATATGCCCTTATACCTACCCTAATATATACCCTAATCTGCCATCATCACACACACATATATAGATATATATAAATATATTCACTATTAATTACTATTAGAATAGAAGAGGTATGTGGTGTGTGTGTCATTATTGGAAAAGTATATGTATAACATATATATATATATATGTAATCACCACCATCATATAAGTATAGTATTAGTTTACATTTACTTAGCAATGTTTGATTGATCAGCGCTGTCAGTATTGATAATATTATAGGTGGTGTACTACATGTAGGCATTTTGGTAATATAAATCAGCTATGGCCAGGTAAATTATATACTGCATTGTAGTTAAAGGACCGATGTCGATTGAAATATTGCCCCCAAATCTGTTGAATCGGCTCAGGCAGTTGCTGTGATGTCAGTTTAGATTCAGTTTGATAAAGTCGGAGAAGTTCTGAATGTATTAGCGGAGTTATTTTATTGGAATATATAATGTGATCTTCTGAGTCAGTGCTGAGGAAGGCTGGATTCAGTGTTAACAGTGGATATATATAAATATCTGATATAGCTATATCACTGGTACCATTACACATTGAATTGCAGCATTTCCTATTAGCATAGGTTATTAGCATCCTGTAAATTGCAGTGGCTGATAGGATTAGTGTTTGCTTTAATATTAACTTATTAATATATGAAGACATACAATTGTTGGTAAATGGCAGTAACTTGCCAGCCATCCATGTATTACAAGTGATCAGGTAGGTATTGAGAGTAGGAGATGGAATCTTATGTGATCTGATCTGTAGATATAGCATGGATGTGAATGCATTTATTATAGCAGGTGACAAGACCTGTACATTCAATCAATAAATGACAGCAACATGCCAGCCGTCCATGTAGTACAAGTGATAAGGTAGGCAGTAGAGTTGAGCTTATCTGATATGATGTTTAGATAAGGCAGAGAGGAGATTTTTTATAGCATGTGACAAGACAAGCACATTTAATCAGTAAATGACAGTAACATGACAGACGTCTATGTAGTGATTAGTGATTAGTGATTAGGTAGGTATTGATAGTAGGAGATGTGATCGTATGTGATATGATCTTTAGATAAGGCATAGAGGAGATTTTGTTTATAGCAGGTGACAAGACAAGCGCATTAAATCAGTAAATGACAGTGACATGCCACCCATTCATGCTGTACAAGTGATTATGTAGGTAGGGATGGTAGGAGATGTGATTTTATGTGATATAACCTTTAGAGAAGGCAGGGATGTGAATTTTTTTTTTATTATAGCAGATGACAAGACCAATACATTAAATCAGTAAATGACAGTAACATGCCAGACATCCATGTAGTAATGATTAGGTAGGTAGGTATTGACAGCAAGATATGATATTTAGATAAGGCAGGGATGTGAATGTATGTAGTGATTATGTAGGTAGGTACTGACAGTAGGATATGATCTTTAAAATAAGGCAGGGATGTGAATGTAGCAGTGATTGGGTAGGTAGGTATTGACAGCAGGATATAATCTTTAGATAAGGCAGGGAGGAGATTTTTTCATAGCAGGTGATAAGACTACAAAACAGTAAATGACAGTAACATGTCAGATGTCCCTGTAGTACTGATTAGGTAGGTAGGTATTGTTAGCAGGATATGATCTTTGGATAAGGCAGGGAGGAGAATTGTTTTTATAGTAGGTGACAAGACTAGGATTCAGTAAATGACAGTAACAAGCCAGACATCCATGTAGTACACGTGATTAAGTAGGTATTGGTATTAGGACATTTGATCTTATGTGATATGATCTTCAGATAAAGCAGGGATGTGACAGTATCTTTAATAGGTGACAAGACTAGTACATTTTCCTGAGACGATATTTTGCAGCCATGTACAGATCAGTTCTAGTACTCTAAATCCCTCCAGTGTTCTGATCAGCAGCTAGAAGTCAATAGAAGGAGTGTGTAGAGTAGCGGATCGTTCCATGTCACGGTACAAGCAGATGTCAGGATAAAGTGTGTGCAGTATGACAGGTGATGATGTACGATGTGATGATTCGGTGTGAATGCTGATGGCCAGCTCGCAGTTGAGGTATTTCAGCACCAAGGAGAGCAGAGCGGACACCAACCAGTCTCTGTTTTCTCCCCTGATCCCTCGTCCCGTGTCCCTTGCGTCCCCTGCAGTCTCCCTGACTGTCCCCTTGTTCTTCCCCCTCCAGGTCTCCCCGTGTGTTCTGTTCTAGATCTCCTCCAGCATGAAGTTCCAAGTCTTAGTGTGTATGGGGATCCTCCTGGTGGCTCTCCTCCCCAGCCATGAGTGCAGAGCTTTCAGCAAATCTTCAGCCGCTTCTAATGGGGCTCCCCCGCCTCTGCTGGCCGAATACCATCCCTTTCTACTCCGTATGGGAGAAGAGTACTTCCTCCGCCTGGGGAACCTGCACAGCAAGTCCCCCCTGGGAGCCGGCCGGGTCGGGGACGCCTTGTCCAGTAACTTTGTGCGGGCGGTGCAGCAGCTGCAACCTCAGCAGTGGGGCGGCCAGCAGGAGCTCAGGGCTGGCAGCATCGTAGACGGAGCAGACTCCCCCCCATTCAGCGCTCAGGAGGAGCCCACGGAAAGAGGAAAACGTTCGGAGGAGCCCCCGATTTCCCTGGATCTCACTTTCCATCTGCTCCGGGAAGTCTTGGAAATGGCCAGAGCCGAGCAGATAGCCCAGCAAGCCCACAGCAATAGGAAACTGATGGACATCATTGGGAAATAAGAGCCCAGCTGTCATCTACCAAAGAGTTTCCTCCATCTAGCACAAACTATACAGTATGATGTACCATTGTGCTGCCCTGATACCATTTGTTTATTTTTCTATAGCTTCAGACATAGAGGATGCACTCAGCAACCCCTTGGGTGCCTATGGGGCCAGCATCACATTGCCAAGCAATGCCCTGCTGCTGGTCCCTGGGTCAGAGCCTATATCTGTTATTCAGCATGCACAGGGTGTATTTGACTGCAGTAAAAAAAAAACAAAAAAAAAAAAGGCAACAGATGTAATTTGTAACTTATTTTTCTTTTACACTCTCTGGGAGGGAGGGGTTACTTTTGTAATATATCTAACTATCCATAGGAATACCAGTTTAGGATTGAACCTGGACCAACTAGCTGAAAGAAATCCATTGGACCTGATGGGTTTCCTCTGAGAGGTGGAGAAAGAAAAAAAAACAAACAAAAAAAAACCATAGCTGTAATTTATTTTGCATCAAAAGTTTATTGTATACATTTCCATAATAAAAAACATCTTTTCAGAGCTGGCACAACATTGGTGTGTAAACATAACGTTTAATATCTATCTATATTTTTAATAAAATCTGCAAAGCTACATCTGTCCATGTCCATTTGTTTTGGGCAAAAAAAAAAAAAGCATGGTCCTGTATTTTCGTGCAAATGAAAAATACAGCAATTAGCTTTCACTGTACACCCACTTACATCCAACAGAAAGGAATGAGATTAACAGTCTGGGGTGGTTGGAACAAAATCATAAAACAAGACCCCCCTAGAGAGATAACAAGTGATAACTTACTCGGTGAAAATAATAATTATATAAAAAATGTTGTTGCAGTGGAATTGCTGCATGGCTGAGTCACAGAACCCTTATTAATTCAACTTTACGCTGCTCTGGATTGTCAGTAAAGACTCCCTTATGCAGAATGTAGTCTCAGATCTACACAGGCTTTCTGATGACAACTTTCAGTCTCATCCACAAGCTACCAGATTTTCAAACACTATACACTAAAGCTGGCCACACATGAAACAATTTTATTGTACAATATTTCTTTAGATTTACCAAAACCAATATGAGGTCAAACCTAAACACTTTCAATTTGTATGCAATCAGTCAAGCCCTTGCACTACATAGCTGAAGGTAAATCCAAAGGAAATCGAATAAGAAGATTGTATAATGTATGGCCAGCTTGAGGAAGGTATAATGCAATAACCTATATGAATCTCTATCACAGGTCTGCTGATCGGAATTGTGATTTGATGACTGCAGGTTTAGGTCTTGAATTATGCAAGTAAACTGAATCTGTCTCAAAAAGGGCTAAGAATTCATGTTATTTATTTTGGCTCTTTGCACTTGAATTTTTTAAAAATATTTTTTTATTACAGAATTTGTATACCTTTATTGATAACATTACAAGATCAAGAAATACACAGACTCCCATTTCTGACGTACTTTTGAAAATGCTAGCTATCTGGCTGTCCTTGGTTTTAATACTATCTCAGTCTGTGACCTAGAACAAGCATGCAGTAAGTGAAAATAGAGAAAAGTAAGGATTTGCCAGAGTGTTCTGGATCAAAGAATCAAAAGGGTTGTTTTGTTAAAGGCAAATAGGCTGCTCATTTTACAAGGGAATTTTCAAGACAATTTTCCTTTAGCTAAGTGGATGTGGTGAAAATTCGCTTTACCCTAGGTTCACACCTAAGCACTTTCTGCCACATTTTGCATTTTACAGAAAAGCAATACAGGCCAGTTAACATGATTCTCTATGGGACAGGTTCACATCTCTGTGTTTTCACCTGGTGTGTTTTTTGGAAAGGGTCAGGGACTTTTTTGAATGCAAAACAGTGCATTTTTGGTACTATAGACTTCAATGGGAATGCTGTAGAGAAGCATGTATTGGATTTTCGCCGTGTTCTTGATGCATTTTTGCAGCGTTTTGCGTTTAAAATCTGCCTAGCAACAAAAAAAAAAAAAAGAAAAAAAAAAAAAACACAGCAAAACGCATCAAAAACGCAGCAAAACAGTGTAAAAAATGCAAGTGCAAAAACACAAAATGCAACGCAATGCAAACACCTCAAACACAGCCTGCATAGGTGTGAACCTAGACTTAAGTAAAGGATACCAAGTCATGTGCAAGGAAAAAAAAACATTTCGCTTGTATAGGATTGTATCATGAAAGTCAAAAGAGCCTTACCTCATTCACTAAGCTAATGGGAAATTCCTTTGCAAAGTGAAAAAGTCTCTTTGCCTAGCAACAAAAAAAAGGAAACAAAATCAAGCCCAAAATTGGGACCATTGGATCAGCATGACAGCCAGACATCTGCACTTCCATAGGAAGAGTCAGTATGCACCATCCATAATACTTCAGAAAGGTGTCCTTTGATCAAATGGATACCAGAATCATTGGGTGCACTATGGAAAATTAGAAAACATTGATCGCTTGCCCTTTATCACGGCACAGCATTGATTTAATAAGCCTGTATCACTACAAAAGTAATAAAAGTGCTATAAAAGTACTTGTTGCTTGCCTTGTGGTGTAAGTCTGAAGGAGGGATGAATATTCACATTTTTGGTTAACTATAAATGCTGCAGGAAATATATATAGAATAGATTATGTATTTTTAATGTACAAGTTTGGGGTTTGTTTACACTAGTCATGATTCCCAGCACAGGTAAAATGAATGGACATAAGAACACCCATTGTTTTATAGGGTGCTTTCACACCAGTCCATTGGGTTGAGCTGCATTGCGTATTTTAGTGACTTGCGTATTCTATGACCAAACAGAATCATCCATCCTGCACAAAATACCATGGACTGATTGGAGTATGAAAGGATGCAACTGCAAATGGTGGCACAGTGGTCAAAATATAAAAATAGGCTACAGCACTGCGATAATGCAGGGTGAAACAGGACTCAGTATATACAATGTGCATACAATTAGCAATTTGAGGCCACAGAAGATATCTGAGAAGAGGTATAAGTGTACCTGCAGCTTTACAAAGGGCTCCTTAAGGGCCTCAAACCATGGTCAAGGCTAATTTACACTTTATTATTGGGGTGCTGGCACTATATTTATATGACAACACATGGCATGTGTTAATGCATGTATGGTACAGCCCATCTGGTGTGAACTAGCCCTATAGCTGGCTGCACATTGGAAGACCTCTTATCTGTTATAATGCTTGATGAGATGTCTCCTTTCTAAACTACTGGTCTTCCAAAACTGATTTTGCTTTTCCAACTTTGTTTTTTGCGCACAGGAAATATAACAATAGTTCATTTTTTCTGCAAGGAAAAGAAAGATTATCTTTCATCAATGCCTGTAGATTTATTCTATTCATTTTTGAAACTCTTGATGATTAATAGCTCTACATCTGGCGGGTTTGATGAATTTTAGGCCGCTGCTCACTGTACTTTAGAACCCCCCTTGTGGTTACATGGTTCCTGCCTGTTGATAGCTGAGCAGGTGGCTCAGGCTGCAAATTATTTCTTCATACCCTTGGTTCACATCTGTAGTGCCGCTGTGGGTCCAGCACAAATGCCTGCAGCCGCACCACCCACATAGAGGAATGCAGGACCCGCGGACAGGTGCCATTAATTCTAAGCCACACTGGAAATCATTACCATTGTGGTAACCTCGGTTCCCGTGTGGGCTGCGATTTCCAAAGTAGTGCAGGGACTTCTTCCCTGAGTATCCCAGGGCATGGGAGTCCATTCAAAAGAATGGGCTCTCGTGTCCCTGCAAATCGCGGCCTGCACAACCGCATAGATGTGAACCAGGGCTTACTAATTTTCTGCCATCTTAGCAACAGACACATCTCACTGATCAAGATGGTATCTCTCATACACAGTCACTTGTGCTTCATTTCTATTACATCTCCTCAAAACTCCTTTATTCATTATAAAGTGTTAGCTTTTTATCTTTGGGATTGTTTGAAACAAGATTGGATAAGTGAAAACTCATCTTATCTGTCAAGTTATTTAAATGTACTTGAATTGATAAAACAGTTACGATATCTCCACACTATTTATTCCCCACATTACCCACTTATCGTCCTACTTGGACTTGTTGAATTGCTAGCCAGAATTAGATAAATAATGATCAAAACCCTACAGGTTCCAAAATGGGGGACTACACTCTAAGAAAAGTAGAGCAGTTAATGACTGGAGGGGAGGAGAAAAACTATCACTCAATGGATGGATTTTAAACTGAAATACTTATTCTATGGCATTAGAGAAAATGTGTTATCATGCTAAGTACCTGTCCGAGAAGCCTCTGGTTGAAGCAGCTATCCTCTGATTCCCATAGCCCTCACATAATGTTGAGTGGATTTGAGCAGGTGTCTCATTGCCCTGAACTACCATCCTGCAACACACACAGCTCTCAGAGTGTTCTGTTTATTTGGTACATTTTTCTTAAGAATTCAGCTTGATGCATCTTTGGTATGGTTTCCAGCAATTAAATCTTCATATAAAATTATTATAAAACATACAGTAGCATTTTACATGTCTTGCATACAGAATGTGAAAGCCACATACAGAAAACACATGTAAAATGGTATTGAAATGCACTTAAAGCAGTTCTTCAGTCATATTTGAAAAAGTAAAAGTCAGCAGCTACAAAAACTGTACCTTCTGACTTTTAATAATAGGACACTCACCTGTACCAGGATCCAGAGCTGTCCCCATCTGGCCAGTTTTTCTTTACCAGGCTTCGGCCCCCAGCGATGGCATACTAACTGTGGGCAGCCACCTGTGACTGCTTGCAGCTTCATAGCCAGATGCTCACTGCACATGCTCAACCTGCACTATGCTATCTGAATGGTCCCACAGCTTTCTAGGACCTGTAATGTGTACCAAAAGGCATTGGGGGAAGGAGGAGGGGTGAAATTTCACTATGATCGCTATAGCGATCCGACCAGAAGTGAGGAGCTTGTACCTGTCAAAAGCTGGTACCTGTCCCCCCCCCCCAGAAAAAAAGTGACA